ATGCGCACAGTGCAAATGCATGCAGATGTTTAGCAGTTATAATGCTTATGTCCACCATTTTAGTTTAGCATGTTAGCATGCTTAGCTATTTAGCACTAAGAACAGGTATTGGGCGAATAAAATGTACCTGATAAACAAAATGATACATCTTCTGGGGTGCATGACTGTGTTTACTATATTTCATGGGAGTCCATCCAATAGTTTTTGAGAGGTGGGATGGATTTGTCCCCTGTTAGATCCCCTGTTCAGGAGGTACTGGACCAGCTCTCCGTCTTAAAGGGTCCGATCCTCTAGGCCTATGGGTATTACCCTAGTAGGTATGACTGAGGACTGTTTAAGCTGGTGTCGAAGAGATTCGCCTGGCTTCTAACTGTCTTCTTCCGAACGCCTACCCTGCTTACTCTGAGATAGCACCTGACTGAATAGCCCTACAGCCAGATACCACCCCAGCCACGCCCGTTAACGACAGCTCTCTTCTCATTGATCAGTGCACTTGGTATGGTAGAGGTTGGTATTTAGTGGCCAGGAAAATAGGCCCCAAGGATAAGTTAATTTCAGTGGCTAGAGCAACCTATAAGAACCTCAAAGATGTTAAACACACTTTACCTAATTGATTACTACCTTAGTGAGGAAATAACTTCAATGTTGGCCATCAATGTCCCAGGGGCTCCCAATCCACTGATACACGATTAACCCCCCTTGGCTGGCAATCCGGCGTGCGTCTGGAGGAATCGGGTTCATGGAGGGTAGGTGTTCACCCGGGTTGCTCTCTGTCCTGTGGTGGGCCTTCTTTGACTTACGCTTCAATCCGGTTTCTGTCTTTGGTACGGACGTGGAAGGCTCTGCTCGCCCAAAGTTGGTTCCGTCCAGGAGAAGTTTCCCCTGCCTGTCCAGGAGTTCCTTCTGTTTTTCCGTCTTGGCTATAAGGTTCCGGAATTTATCGATCACTGGCGTCAGATTACTGGGCAGAGTTGACGGGAGATTGAGGATTCCTTCTCCCGGGGGAGTGCTTGGTTCGAGCGAGCCTCTCCTTCCAGTCTCGTCTTCACTGCTCTCCGCCTCCTGTTCCTTCTCTGAATCCGAGCCGGTTCTGGCTGACCCTTGGCTGTCGTTGGAGAGGTCGTCGCCGCTATCCGGGTTCTCCTCAACTACACTCTGAACATCCCCATCCTGTTGTAAGGCCCGGAGGTAGGCTCCTTTTCTATGTAGTTTTTCTAGTAGTTCTTTGTGTTCAGCGTACTGGCTTGTGGCTCTGGTCTCCGTTGCCTCGAGCACACAGTCAACTCCCAACACGTGCGCTGTCATCTTTATGATGGGATCGTACTTCTTGGAAGGGCTCACCAGGGCTGTGATTCGCCCCCTGTCCCATCCGTCGAGAACCTGGAGCCACCAGTCGATCCAGGTCCGGATCTCTTCTTTGGTCTTCACTTTGTTGGGGCACCTCATAACCATTATCGCCTGCCTGTCGATACAGGCATCGGTGTAATAGTACCCTGGGCTCTTCATCATCTCATTCACTTCTTCCTCCATTTGCCCTGGTGTCGCCCTTGTGCAGTATCTCTGGAGGTGCTCTTTAGTAGCAGGGCTCCATGTTTGAAGCCCGTCTCCGAACAGTATAATTCTGTGTGGTATTCTCAGCTCCACTTTTGGGGCCTGGTTCTCTGGTGCCTCACTCTCGAGGCCTTCTGTTTCTTCCATCTCACTCAGCTTTTTTGGGTCATCTGCTGATGCCGCTGCCGCCGCCATCTCTGTCGTCTTTGTCGTCTCGAGTTGTCTGTTCCTCAAAGCCTCCCTTAGCGCTTCGGGTCAGGGATGAGTTGCAGACTGGTTGGCTATTCAGCGCCGCTTCTGGGATGCAGCTTGACTGCTCCTCTCGGTCGCTCTCTCCCCCGCTTCTCCCTCTGGATCTCTGCGGGCGGGTGATACTGCTTCCTCTAGCAGGTCACCAGGCAGCTCCGCTTCTCTGCAGGGCTGCCCCTTCGAGTGTTCAGTCGGATTTCTTCTCCTGCTGGACTCCTCGCTCTGGCGCTTGGCAGATGTCTCTCTGCCGCGCGCCTCTCTCTCTCGGGTGTTCCACACGAACGACGGTTGGTCTTTCCGTCGGGGTTCTGCTTCAGGCTCAACGAATCCTTTCGTCGAGACCCACGTTGGGCGCCACGTGTTAGATCCCAAGTCACCCCTGTTCAGGAGGTACTGGACCAGCTCTCCGTCTTAAAGGGTCCGATCCTCTAGGCCTATGGGTATTACCCTAGTAAGTATGACTGAGGACTGTTTAAGCTGGTGTCGAAGAGATTCGCTTGGCTTCTGTCTTCTTCCGAACGCCTACCCTGCTTACTCTGAGATAGCACCTGACTGAATAGCCCTACAGCCAGATACCACCCCAGCCACGCCCGTTAACGACAGCTCTCTTCTCATTGATCAGTGCACTTGGTATGGTTGTCAGGTTGGTATTTAGTGGCCAGGAAAATAGGCCCCAAGGATAAGTTAATTTCAGTGGCTAGAGCAACCTATAAGAACCTCAAAGATGTTAAACACACTTTACCTATTTGATTACTACCTTAGTGAGGAAATAACTTCAATGTCGACTATCATTCTTTAAATGCAGTGATTATATATTTTATTGCATAAAGATAGCAAGGGCAAGCATACAACTAAAATTGGTTAAAATGAGTAAAAATAATAAAACTGTTTAAAATTCAAAACCTGATATGAATAGTTGAGCTTGAGTGTTTTTTGGTTATCTTCTTTTTGGAGAGTAAGGGAGGGGAAGGAGTTGTCCTGCAGTGAAATCCTTCCTCCGCTGCGGGGCTGCGGACTCCGGAGGAGACTTGAGGCTTTGTCCAAAGCCCTCAACCGTCTCTCGAAGTCTTCAGTCTTCATCGCAGTTGAAAAGGAGAAAATCTTCCGGGTCCGATGATTCTTCAGTTGTCTTGGCTGTTATGGTTGTCCTCCGTGGCACGATCTGTTGATACTTTGCTGAAGAAATCTCTGAAGCGTTCTCTAGATGATAGTTGTTCAAATCCCCAACTCTTTGGCTCTTGGTCCGATGCATGGTGGTCCTGCTCAGCGACCGATGCCTCTGAGATCCGCTGAGGAATAACCCCGATCTCTTTCTGGCTTCTCTTTATATATCCTACTCCGTGGCTGATTTCTTTGTCATATCAGCCACCACCCTTATCCTGTCTACGTGACTACTGGCACATAGATTGTTCATTTGTTTCACAGATGTCCTTGTTTGGTCCACTCATTTCCCCTGCTGACCCTTCTCTCTCAATGACTCACAGTCATGAGGCTGTCACTCTCAGTCCAATATTTTGCAACAAGCTTCAACATGTCTTAACATATTCCTTCAATCACATCTATCATTACATGCACATTTGCAATCAATACTATCAAATCATGACATTTTATACCATAGTTATTCATTTCTCATTTCTTTAGTGATTCCTTTATAATACGTCTAATACATCATTCTACTGATTGCTATACTTATCACACTTAACACATCACATTCATTTGGAAAGTACCTGATTCTCCTCTTGGTTATTTTGTTTCTTATGGTCTCTTGTGTTATTCAGTCGGAAAGTACCTCGCAGTCCCATGGCCTTTAATGGGCCTTTTAGAGTGTTGTTAGTGCGCAGGGATCTCAATCTACTTGACACCCCATATAAACCAACTGGTATTTGATCTGTGGAACACTATGCAAAATTGACTATACGTGAAAATCAATACGTGCCGTTCAATGAACATTTTGGAAGTAAACATCGGCATTGGTGACGCTGTGGCAATACATAAATACAGGGGTGCTGTTACTTTGAAATTTTTCGTCATGTTCTGATCAAGCACTGACACAGGAAACGGGATTTGGGCATAGACGCAGAACACCAGGCAGAGTAGATGCAGTTTTCAAAGTTTATTAACTAAAAGGGTGAACTTACAATTAAGGTCAGGCCAAAACATAATAACTAATAACAAAAACGCCAACATATCCAGAACAGCATAGGCATTAATCCCAATGGATATACTCCAAAAACACCTGGGAACACATGGCTGAACGCTAAACACAGATGAAGTATGATCTGACACAGTTTTCGTCCGGGATATGGTTGCATACTTCAGGCACATTCTAACATATAATACCATGTCTGGTCTTGATGTGAAAATGTATTGTTCTTCTTGTGAAAAAGGAAAATGTTTATTAGCTAACTACTAGGTTTTTTTGGTGCTTTCAAACAGCTGAGCCAACAACTCATTTTGCTGATGACGACCATGAGATGCCATTGAAAGCGCTGGAAAAGTAAGTTGACCTTGAGTTGCAATGTTTTGCTAGCTGGTAATGGGAATCAATTCAAAATTACAAAAAGTACAACAGTCACCCCTGACCAACCCTTATGGTAGTACACTATTAGTTCGGTCTTGTTTTTGATTCGCAGCCACACTATGCTTTTCATGGGTCTAGTTAAAAATTTCAGATGCAGTGGAAACACAGAAGCAAAAAAAAAAGTGACCCGTTCTTACATGTAAAAGAGTTAACTAGATTGAAGTTGATAGTAACAGGATCACTTGTTGATATAAGTTTATAAAAGAGCATGCAGCCTTGTCTTACAATCTGCAACAGCATGCATGTCACGGATCTTTTGTGATTTAAATACGGGTGTGTGCAGTGTTAGGTGCTGTATTAATATATCTGTCAAACATTTCACAACAGGTTCCAATCTTTTGTTTTGAATTTAGTTTATAGTGTAATAATGCATTTTAAACTATAAAACAGACCATATCAGCTTTCTTAGAATTTGTTCATGTTTCTCATCTGACTGGGCCAAATCAGTTTCTCTGTCTTTTCCTCCATTTTTTCTTTTAAATGTAGGATCAGTTGCTTTCTTTTCTTTCTCCATCGTTTCCTCTCACCTCAACTCTTTAAATCCAGTCTAGTATGTATGGGTGGTGGGTTTCTGGTTGCACTGTGTGACATGAAAATACTTCCAGCAGAGAACAAAACACATCATCTAAGAATTTTTACTGTGCTCACGGTGGACTGTGTAAATGCTACAATTTGCATTTACATTCTACTACGGCCCCTTCACCACCAGGTCAGTTATGACTGGTCTGTTTGTTTTTGAGGCGGGTCTTCAGGGCAAGAAGGTCAATGTAGAGGATCTGATTGAGGACGGCTGAAGAGCAGAGCAGTCCACCGTGCAGCGCCCCAGCCATGCCGTTACAGAATACGTCCTGACCTGCGCACGCACATACAAACACACACAGAAACATTGAGCAGGTGTGTCAGTCTCTGTAGCAATCAGATCACATGAGACAGTCAGGTCACCTGTTAGGTAGAGACCACCGATCGGTGTCTGTGGCCGTGTCCTAGCCACCGTTTCTGGGGTGAAGCGCTCCAAGTTGTGTTCAGCGCTGTACATCGCGCCTCTTGGAGCGCCCAAATAGTGGACATTAGTTAGTGGAGTGGCAGCATCCACCATCACCACCTGAACACACACACATTCCATTTGGAGACAAAAGTACAACCAACATTAGAGAATGACTAATACAGAGCTGTCTTTGCACTTTTTTGGAGGCACAGCAATATTTTGGACTATTTGGGAAGTACAGGCATATTATATGGGAGCCAGGGAAGAAAAAAACAAATACTTGTATCAAGAAGATTTTGTGAATGTGTCACAAAATATTTGCAGGCACAGAGCAACATTAGCATTTATATTGGGACATGTTTCTAGTTCTTTAGCAGCTTGCTGCTTACGGATGCTCATCTATGTTGACTAGCTATTCGTTAACTTTGTCTGAATTGAATAGATCAGCTCACTCACAAACTGAACTGTGACATTCACTTAAATACTCCTCTTATCTAACAGTCATCTAATATATTCATGTATCTACTTACATTACCTGAAAGCCACTGTTGAAGCATATTTGTTGGAGGCTATGATAACATTTGTTGTTACTGGTGACTTCTAATGAGGAAAAGTGTAAGCTTCTGTTCTGCTGAGTGTAATTTGTCATGGAAATATGATTTGCATAAATGCTACTATGTAACTAACTGTATTAATGCACAGGCAAACATATATCCACACACTCACACACACCTTGTCTTGCAACTGAGGGAAGATTGTTAGAGCCCAGTCTAGCAGCTCTTGGGCCATGCTGTTTTTCAGATCCACGTAGTCCTGTCCCCTCTTGCCAAGCTTTGTCCCCTCCCATTCCTCGAACCACTCATAGCGAGCCATGGTTAGCAACGTCATGCAGGACTTACCTGCAGACAGACAAAAAGGAGAATGAAGAGAAGATACGAATGTTTCCGTTGATTAATTTTTTTAATCTTCTTGGATTAACTATGTGGGTATCCAGCAAAAAAAGTTGATTATGGGTAAACCTAAATCATTATGTACATAGCAACACAACTACACCAATGCGGCCACATTTCATGTATTGGTGCAAACCTATTTTGATTTACACTAAATTGCAACATCCCATTGCACTGCACAATTTCTGTGGCACAAATTGACTGGGTTAGACCCCCATGAGTGACTGGGCAAGCTACATCACAAACCACAGAATGTAGATCCATAAATGTAGAATGCCTGCAACATATTACTGGAATAACATCAACTACAGTGGCTTGTTGAGTGGCACTGTCATCAGAATCCAAGACAGATCGGCCTGCAAGACCTGTAACAGGCATCTGGCCGTGTGCCCTCCACATGTTGAAGCAGTGTGTATGGGACTTTAATTACACATGGTGATGTGCTAAAACCAAACTTGGTGAGTTTCACATCCTATAATGCTGTTTGTGAATTCAACATTTTATTAGCCTGTCTTGAGTCATCATAATGTTCCTTAGCTGTTGATTGGTTGAGTTTGGGAGAATACCCAGCGAGGATCAAGTGTGTGTGAGAGCCACCTCAGACATCGGATAGGACAGAAGGCCGCGAAAAAAAACGTCATTTCTCTAATAAGCCTACTGTAGTAGACTTTAATTTGTAGCCGCAGTTATTTTCGAGTGAAGTTGCAGGGTTTTTACTCAAGTTGTGTGTTAGCCATCAGCTAAGCCACAGTAGGTCAGATGCTAATCTTTGACTAGTGCAGAAGATAGATCCCAACTGCACAAGGTGTAGCCGGTCTTGTGGGAAGGGAGATACCCTTTTAAAGGACTGTTTGCAGATGACCCAGGGCTTTAGAGCGGAAACCTCAACTGCTGCATTTATTTTCTTGTTTATGAGATCTTTGCCCAAGACAGGTAATTGGCCGGTGAAACTATTTTATTTCTTTGCCATAATCATGGGACTTTGGAATTTGATTTAATATATGTTTTGTTTCTGAAATTTTAAAGTGCATAAGGTTTAATTTTGTTAAGGTGTGTTGTGTAGAGGGGTTAAAAGCTCCACTGAATATAGTTTATTTCTGTTGACCATTTTTATATACGTAGCAGAAGGGAGTTACAAACTCAGTTTCGCTTTCAACCTGTTGTAATGTGACAAATAAGGCTCAATCCCATTTCACCCCTTACCCTTACCCCTTGGGTGTTGCGATAGAGGGGTAGGGCAAAGGGGGAGGGCTACATAGCCCTCGAAACGGAGATTTTTCAGAGGCACACCCCAAACAACGAGAAACTTCCCAGAATACAAGTATTTTCTTCGTATAGTGAATTATAACCACGGTTATACTTTAAAAGGCCAAGAGGGACACTCGAAAACAAGTGGTAGGGGCAAGGGGTGAAATGGGATTGATCCTAAATCTACCTTGAACAGGTGCAGTGTGAGTCAGATCATCCACACCAATAGACAGGCTTTTATTCCACTAGACAGTCACTCACTCAACACATATCAGACACACATTAGTATTCACATTGAGTGTAAGTAAACAAGTCTGTTTGCTGTTCAAAGACCTGTAGGGCAAAACAGTGTTACAACCTTTTTTGTACAGTATTATACTGTATCATGAGGCAGATGGCCGCCCACCCTAAATCATGGTTCTGCTCAAGGTTACTTGCTTATGGTGGGAATTGTTGGGTCTCTGTAAATAATATCACAAAGAGTACAGCCTAATCCTGCTCTGTTTGAAAAGTACAATGAAATAAATTTTTTTGATGGGAACTGCCGCTATATAACTAAAATTGGACTCAATATTAAATAATATTTTTATACTAGGGCCAGCTAGCTCTAGACTACAATACAGAAACAACTCCGCACCTTTATTTATGTAGTCATGTAAGTGGAAGGGTTGATCTAACAGTCAGTTGCATCATTGTAGGTAGTTAGCTGAAACCATGGAAACCATGTTTAAAAAATGTAACGTCCCACCCAGGAACTTTGTAATTGCATATGGAGAACAGAGGCTTGAAGAAGAAAAGACTGATCAAATACATAAAAGGAAACTGAAGTGAAAAGCTGTATCAGATTTTATGGTAAGTATAGTACTTGCGTACATGGGAATGTGTGTTACCTGGGTGTCTGATGGTGGATGTAGGATCTTTAGCGGATGGGAAGGTGATGAACATCATGGGGATGTTCCCCAATACCTCCTCTCTGCTCAGCGAAGAGTATCGCTCCATACTTCGCAGAGTTGTATGTTCACAAATACAAACAAAAAAAACAAAAAAAACCCAAAACTTATTTAGTAGAACATCAGGTACTCAATCTATAAAATACAAAATGCAATAAATGGAGATAGGGGTGGTTTAGATGAACATGAAAAACATGAAATGAAGAATTTGTTGTACATTTTTTGGATTGATTGAACTTAAAATATTTGAGAAAATAATAAAAAAGAAAAACCTACAGTGAGTCCAAGTCATTGTCTTTATACATCCAGAAGTTGGTGGAAACAATGCCCAGCTCCTCTTTGGTTCCATCCAGACCAACAAAAACCAAGAAGGATCCCATACCATGACGTACCATACGCAACAGTGACTGGATCTCTACAGGTAAACATTTGACAGGTACTATTCAGTAGAAGAAGGCAAAGGAGAAAGAAGTGCAATTTAACGTTTAGAGGCTGCAGCCAAATCAATACTTCCACATATTACATTACCTGGTTTGTCCTGTATGTGCTGAGGCAGAAACTTCTGGAAGGTGTTGAAGATTCCAGCGTTGGAAATGACAACAGGGGCATGGACTTCAATCTCTTCTTGCCCTTTGAGCACTGTCACACCTGACACACATACACACAGTGTTCATCCCAAGGAAATACCCAGCATTACTTGGTAGGAAGCTACATTTTGATATTAATGGTGCGTTCCATTTGACATGGGAAGTTGGAATTTCCGTGTACAAATTCAGAAATTTCAATGGAACGCCCCTTTAAGCCAGATTTCTGACTTGGAAAGTCGGGAGAACTGCACTACCCTGACTCTGTGATCCAAGATGGCTATTCTGAGCATCAACAGTTAGTGAAAGCTATAGTTTATACAGTTTATTAGCACTGCTATGTATCTGATCATAAATTTTCATACACAAAAGTGCTGTCCAGCTGCTGTCTGCGGACGTGTTTAGTATTTAGTATGAGTAAATCCCACACAATGAGTTTTTTTTTTAAATCAACCAGCGTAACAATGGCTAACCTGGCTAGTTGTAACAATGGCTGGCCGAGTGAGGTTTTCCAACTTGTTAACTGGAACGCCGTCAACTTGGGTCCAACCCCTGACTTCTGAGGTAAATGGAACACACCAAAAGACAAACAAAGGTCTAAGGTCCATAAGGTCTTGTCTACAAAGTTTACCACTCCAAACGTCCATGCCTGACTACAAACATCCCATCACTGCCATCACCACTTCAGACAACATGTGTTTTCATTACTGTTCACATGACCAATTTCCAGTGATGCTTCAAATTCAGTTGTTACCTAATATGAGCCTATCAGAGGGCAGATGCCAGGAGAGAAGAAAGTGAGAGAGGAGGAGGAAAGACGAAAACAAGAAAGCTGCCATATCGCAGATAACAAACTCTTTTGTTGAGACTATGGAAAATAAATGATAACCGGAATCCCTAAGTGTTTGGTTTTAGTTTCTGGCTGTGTCTTTTTGTTAACATAAATTAAGTGAAACTAACACTAAGCACAATGCATGACTGAAGATGGAAGAAGAGGTTGTCAAGTGAATGAAGTGTAGCTATTTTGAGGCCTTTTAATAACTGGTACACACATAAGGATTAGCGGTAAATTAGTTCTCTTGACCGAACGACAGATCAATAGCTTTGAAAGGGAAATGTTCAAATGCTGTCATTTTTCTGGTAAGTTTTTAAAGACCTGGAACACTTCCAAAATGTGTATGAAGGCTTCTGACTTGGACTGGCTCCAAAGAGTGTCTTACTGCAGAATTGAACCATGAACAGAACAAGCTGGGCACACTTACATGGAAAATGGCCACTACATTACAGAATCGGTCTCCCCCTCCCTTTCTCACCGCAGGCCTTCCCTTGCTGGCTGAGCAGGATGCGTTGTACAGGAGCCCTGACCAGCACGGCACCGCCTGCCTGCTGAATGACAGGGATGATGTGGAAGGCAAACTCACTGGAGCCCCCCCGTGGGTAGTATGCACCACGCTTGTAGTGATGAAGAAGGAGGGCATTGATGAGAAAGCTGGAATCTTTAGGCGGCACACCTAAAATTTCATCAAAAAGAGCATTGAAGAGAAAATACAGACTGTGTGTGATCTGTGATGCATGTGAGTGTGTATGGCCATCACCGTAGAACAGGTAGGAAGACAATGCCTGCAGGTCCTTGTTTTGTGTGAGGCTGGACATCATTTCTGAGTGGTTGGTTACTGCTAGGCGAAACACTGAAGATATGCGATTCAACAGGCCAGTCCGAACCAGGAAGGTAACAAGCCAATATGGTATCATCTTCAATGCGGCAATTAGTGGTGTTCGCCGTGAGGCTAGCTGCAAGAGGAGGACATACATGCACATTTATTATTAAGTAGAATAAGCAACACAGAAACCTTTTCATATTGGAATTGCAGGGGTTTGAATTAAAAGGCGCTGTCAGACAGATTAAGTTCCTGTACTCGCCCAGCACTTATGACAGCTAAACGTTTTTTAACTTGCTTCAGAGGTTGTTGTGTGACCATGGCAACAACAGTGAAGAAAACGATACAGGGGCTGATTTTGCTGGTGTCTGAGTTCCCTGAATGACGCCTCTTCACCAGCAGAGAGAAAGATCAATAAAGAGAACCAATATAGGAAGAACACCCACTTCAAAGTCAGGTTATCCGATCTGGCACAACAAACTAGGTTCATGATATGATTCTATATAGCCAAACTTTCTGTATTAATCGTTAATGCTGCTATGTTAAGCTATAGCCAACTCCATGTGTGATGGGATTTTAATAGGTGAATAGCAGCAACCGGTGGAGTACAGTCTGGTAGGATCCGATGTAACTGGAGTCCAACAGCAGTGGAGTTAGCCCTTCTGCTTGATTTTTAAATGCAGAAAAATAACGCTGCCGCAACCACTACATAGAGTTGGACCATCTGTAAAGCAGTGAAAACCTATACTGAATTTGCAAATGACCACTAATGGTATCATGAAAAGACAAAAAGTAGTGGACTCGGGCATGATCCTTGTGGCACTCCAAATGTTCATTTGGTCAAAGGAAAGATTGTCAAATGTTTAACTTCCCAACGATTGTTCACTTATTACTATGAAACTACTGCCTTGTTTCATCCATCATGATTAGCATTAGCTCCCTCCCTTCTGTACCTTCATCAATCTCATGAACTCATCAATCGCCTGCTCTTCTCCTGGGAACTGCTTCTTCAGGCTAGCTGCCATCTCGGTCTTCCCTGCATGGATATGGTACTCCCTGAGAACAACAGAAGTAGGTCAGAAACGTTGTTTTGATTGATGTTGTTCAAAACCAGGTAGGATACTCTATCAAGTATTAGTTGTATACAGTAGTTCATTGCAGGGTTTGTTAGTGATTACTCTTGGTAATGAGTTAACAGTGCTATGCAGAGCAAATAAAGAAACCCTCTTCAAAAAAAGGGGGGAAAGAGAAAGAATTTAATTTTGTGCAATGATTATAATGTAACAACATGTGCCCACCTGCGCTGGTCAAGCTGACCCAGGACCAGTGTGTCAAAGTGCTGCTCTAGCCTTGTGAACTGCAGCTGTCCCTCTGTGATCTGATCCAGAGCAACCCTCAGCAGACTGTTCTCGTGCAGCTGGCCCAGGTAATGTATACCTGGTGGGGTTAAGCTAAATAATATTAGCTTTTTGTTTTGGAACATAGCAGAGAGTGGGGTCCCTCTAAGATTCACTCAGGGTTATATAATTTAACATATGTCTACGGGATGTCAAAATAACGGTTGTTCAACATGTAAAAAAAACAGACAACGTTCACTATTTTTCCCTTGCATGCTGTATCAACATTAACACTCATTTCAAATTACAGTAGCAGTAGAAAATAAAGTTACACATTATTGTGGGTAATCTGGTTAACTGTATTTTGGTACTTGGGGACCTAGAAAGACTTTAATATTAATATATTTAGGTTATTGCATTGAACACATTTGTCTTGTGTCTACATTATTTTTTTTACAGTTGTCATGCTATGTTAATGAAACTTTGTTTCAGCAGTACTACATACTATTGTGTAGTGCACATTAGATTAATAGCACAAATTAGTAAGCATGAATCTTAAAACAATCAGCACTGGCAGGGTTCTCTAAGTTGGTGTTTGGCGTTTCAAAATCATGTTGCTAAAAACAAGTTTTTTTTCCCCAATAAGCAACTTCCAACTTCTTCAGATAGATCATGAACATGTATACATATCCACACCCAGTCAACTGCTGCAGTTGATTAAATCTGTACTCGCATTTTAACAAACAGCTCTGTGTGACTGTTACAGCTCAGTGGGATTTGGTTCAGACATAAACAGGCTGGCTTTGTTTGACATTAGCTAATCCATTACAAACAGATGAAAGAAATTGTAGGACATGATGATAGTGGAGTACATATTTGTGGCCAGATCTTTGTATTGAAGTGGTCATCACAATTGTGTATGTGTTCAAGTTTGGTTTCTCTTTAGTTAAAAAAGTACACTACATTGCTCAGGCGCAGGGTGTGTGGCTCACAGAACCTCTTGCTTTTTATCTGTGCGTATATGTTAACAGGTCAGAGCAGCCAAAGTGAGCCTCATTGCTCAGGCATGGCTGCAGCAGTGCTTCATCTCGAGAGTGTGTTGCTTATTTCTTCAGTATGACATCTCGCCATCTCTCCTTCTTCACAGAGTCCAGCACGTTCCAATGTGCCGGTGTATAGAACTCTCTCTCCCACTGGCCCCTCCCCCCATCACTTTCCACCACTTTCTTTGTGTTCCATTTACAGAGCCATGGCTGTGTAGGAAAACCAGATTTTTTTTCAGAGCACACACAAAATGGGGAGCTAGCACACCTTTGTGTTCTTTAGCTGGGCTTAATATTCAAGGGAAGAATCTGTATATGAACACAATGAAGTTAGTTGGGAGAAAATCAGTGTATAGAAAGGAACACTGTAGCTGATGGCAAAGAATGTCTAAGCGTGCTGGTGTGTGTTTGTTCCTATTTTTCGCCTTCTTACCCACGTCAAACTCAAATCCCTTATTCTGAAAGGTGTGTGTGCAGCCTCCAGCCTGATCATGTTGCTCCAGAACCACAACCCTCTTTCCTGCTTTGGACAAAAGCGCCGCTGCTGTCAAGCCTCCCACTCCACTGCCGATCACCACCGCATCCAGAGCAGGGGGAACACGTTCCACACGAAACCCTGCAGGGAGCACACATTGCATTTCTGGGAGCACTTTCTTGGTATCTTGGAGGAGGTTTTGAAATTGCATCACAGCTTCACTGCAGTCCATAACATCCAACAAATAACATCAACAAATAAATAAATTTGCAAAATCTGAAAAGTATATATATAAATATGTAACTGTGTGCAAAATTTTAAGAAATAACATTTCGCAACACGGTTATGACAAAGAGACATAGAAGAGATCCTAAGCCAGAAACAATTCTTACATCATCTTCAGAAACATTTTGCAGATCACCTATGGCTCTAAAGTATTGGTGCTGGTTGAAAACTACATGTGAACCCAAGTATTTTGTTCACGCTGGGGATCAAGAGGGCCTGTGTAAACCTTAGCGAGGATTCCTGCTACAGCTGATCAGCATATTATACACTACACATTATTATTGCACTATATTGCACTATATTACTACTAGGGTACTCTACTATTGTACCCTATGTTTGCACTGCCTGACTACATAATATTGAAATAAACTAAAATATATTTAAAATAAGAGTAAACAGTCTACAGTTCTGTTAATAGGCACAGCGGAGCTTCCACCCAAATGCTAACATGCTCACAGTGACTAAAGACAGGACAGCTGAGGCTGATGGGAATGGCATTAGTTTAGCAGGTATTTGGTTATAAACCAAAGCCCCCCCCCCCCCTCTTTGTTTCCCCAACACTAATTATAAAGGACTACATTTGGTTGTCAAACTTTTTGTGTTTTGGTAAAAAACTCTTGCTCAGCTGGATGTTGATGGATAATACAAAGCCCGGTAGACAGTTCAGTACATACAGTATGTGCTGATCATCAACAGACACATTTCTTACCTCTCTTCAGCCTGCCGTCCCTCTGTCTGGTGTCAGTCACCAAGGGTCCTGGTGGCCTCAGGCACCTCTCACTGAACACCTTGTGGCGTTGCCCAGTGGTCATGAAGAAGATGACGACCACCAGCAGCATGCAGATCAATACACTTAGCAGCCACCACATTGCAGAAGAGCGCTGTGCACACTAAACAGCACTGACAGCAGGATGGAGTGGAGTGGAACAAACGGCAAAGAAGAGAAGGAAAGCAGCAAATACAGAAGCTAAAAGTGAGGTCGACGAGAAGATAGAGGTGAAGGATGCAGAAAAAAGAAAGTAAGAGAACAAAAAACAAAGGCTATCCTCCAACAAGGCTTTCCCTCACAAAAGAGCACTAAACTGCAGAGCAGGGGACAGTTAAAGTGAGGGGTGGAGCAAAGGAAAATGAGGATCCATGCTTATTAAGGTTAAGGGATCAAGTAAACCCACATATAACACATGACATTTTGGAAATTCTGACTACTCAAAGAGCAGAACACATTCTCCACGCCTAGGACATGAGACTAGCAGAGAAGAGAGAGCTGGTTGTTTATCTCTTCATCAGACTCCATTCAGACTGCTATCCAACCCAGCACCAATGTGTTGCTCGTTACTGAACTGCCTTATGATTCATATTTTTACACAAATCTTACTGTATAGCTGAAGTCATCGTCGTTCCACTACATGATCGTGAACAAAGATGCTTTCAGAGCTGAGATGCTGCAAATGGGCTACTTGACATTTGAGCTGATGTATGTGTTAGTAAAGATTGACTATGTCCATACAGCATGTGCAGTGACATATATGCTGTGCTAAAAAGGCAATAAAAATTATAATTACCATAAGAGGTGAAAGAATAATTTGAAGAAGTATGAAGGTTAAAAAATTTGAGATAAATTATTATATATATTCTGTAATGACTCAGAAAATGGAGGTTTGGACCCAAATCCAAAGCCCAGAGACCAAGCAGATTAATATAAAAAAGTTTGTTGTCACTGGATGTCACAAAACAGGCGGGAGTCAGGAAACAAGGTAGGCAATCAAAGATTAGGCAAACTTAACCAGGAAAAAAGGCAGAAGTCCACGCTGGCAGGTAACAGACTAGGCAGACAAAGTAGGACACACAAGATAATCTGACAGGAAAAATGGGCCAGTGTACACACTGCATGGGTAATGAGGGAAGTGGGAACAGGTGAGCAGGTGGCGGGGCAGTCGGGTGAGGGTAGGAACACTGCTTATTGCAGGTCAGGAGGGAGTTGGCAGCTTTGAGAGGAAACTGGCAAGAAATTGGATATTGTGAAACGTGCTTAAAGTATTAAAATAAGAAAGTAGAATTCAGCGTCATAGTGTCAGCACTGACTTTATTAACACATGTTCATACTTGCAAGGCCACAGGCTTTAACAGCCAGTCAATATTGGGAACCAAATCTCTAAATACCTGAGCCAATACCCACATCAATAACTGGGAATTAGGGTTTAATGGCATCAATATTCATATAAAATAATTATTATAACTACAATTTAGGAGTTTAGGTATCAAGAGTCTTTTTTTGAAAAGCATTTGCTCTGAATTCTCTCCGGGTGCTCTAGCTTCCTCTTACCTTTAGGTATGATTATAAGTGTGTATGGTGGTTTGTCTCTGTGTGTCTGCCCTGTGATGAACTGGATATCTGTCCAGGGTGTACTCCACCTCTCGCCCAATGTCAGCCTACCCATTGCTGTGGTTGTGAGGATTCTTCATAAGCCCACTAGCTCTGGTTTTGTGCCTATTGATGCACAAGTCCTGTAGAGTGGTGAGTCTGGAGCTGACGGTACAGAGCAGCTGCCAGATCAGTTAATGTCACCGTTAGGGTGCCTTCATAGATCTGATCTGACCTATCACATCTGTCATAAGCAAACTTGGTGACTGAGTTTAAGCTTTCACAGTTGTATGTGTACAGAGCAGGGGGGTAAGTACACGAGCTTGTGTACCTCTGTTGAGAATGAGGGGTTTGGAGGTGACACAGAAAATCACCCATGATTTAAATCAAAACAATAATTTATTCAGTATAGGCAGAAGCATGAACAATGTCTTATTTCACAATCATTAGTCCGACATCAGAATTACAAGGTTCAAGCTCAACTCACGGTCCATTTTCTAGAGGCATGTGTGGCTGAAGAGATTTTGTTTAAGGATTTGATTTGAAGTGCAGATAATAGTCTGCGCACTCCACTGATTTTATACATCAAGACTATGTGGAGTACTACTCAGCCTATGAAAACAGTTGTATAATGTATTTTTATACCCTTCTAAAACCAAGTCATCAAGATTATTTTGGCTTGGAGACAACAGTGGAGTTAAAAACACACAGACAGGAGGGTTTATTGGCGAGATGCTTCTGATTTGCATTATTAGAAATGTAGGAGTCAGGGTTTTTGGAGTTTGACCCATACAAGCTAATAAAAGTCAGGATATCTCGTCCTCTGCTGCAAATGTGTCTTACTTGTGAATTCCCCAACTTCATGGAAGTGCAATACTAAATCACTGGAGTACCTAAGGGTTTAAGGGTTTTCTTTCCTTCTCAAAGTGAATACTCTTATGTAACATTTTTGAATGAAACACTTCAATAGTACATCTTTAGTACATATACATTGTACATATGCACAGTAAACCTATACTTTAAGCCACCTGTTATTTCATTTATTTAAGCAGATAATTGTCAGTGAGCATTCTTTAGGAACTGAACAAAAATCTAGTAAAGCCAATTTACTTTAGAGTTACCGTTGTACTTAAACATCATTAAGTATAGATACAGTGACAAAAATGGTTTTATTGCATTCAGGAGATTTTAATAGAAAAAGGACACAGTGAGGTTTTGGAATGTCACACATTCGGAGATCCAAATATAGCTGCCAGACAAATATCTGCTGTTTTTGAGACACTTTTAAAAACTAGAGCATAAATATAAATGTAATTTTACAAAGAATGAGCCACTTAAAATGTCTCGCTAATACAACTACCTTTCCTCATTTATGATTCAACAGTTCATTGTGCATCAAAAGTATTCAGTAGCTGCCGCAATAAAACATCTGAGTACAAAGAAGCTGCACGAGGAGCTTTCTGCAGTTGGCACCATGGACAGTGTTACATGTACAGTGGACCAAGAGTGCACAACACAACATTTAAAGATGACACAAATTTGTTGAAATTTAAAATGTCTTCATACTGTCACACTTTTTTCGGGGGGTGCTTCAGTTTTGTTGGGTTTCTGCCACTTTTTTTGTTGTGTTGTTCACTCGTAGATTACTGTATACATGTCTTTAATGATGACATTCTGAAAGTGTCACATACTGTAAAGGCAAGAATCTCACTACATCAGTATGTATAATATCACTGTGTATCTACATGCTATCTACAAGCTATTTACGGACTTACGGACTTCATAAATACAACACATAGGTTTTATTTTAAATTATAAGTACTACAAAACAAAAGGTGCAAATTAGGAATGACAGTATGTGTTGAACTGAATTACCCGTTCTTATGAAACACAATATTGTACTAAATTAGAGCTTTAGTAGAAAGTTTTTAATGTGTGTGTATGTGTGTTTATATGTCCAGGGGTTTGAAACTATGCAATGCCTTCTCTGTCAGCCATATTGGGCTCTTTAGATCTTGGGTGACACTGGGTGTGTTCATGATTACTGTCTGACAGATCTTTCAACAAATATATATGACAGATTTTGTGTTTAGCTATTCTAAACTAGCTTCTAAATTGTTCCACATCTGATAGGTAGTTTTGTTTTTTTAACATGTTGTTGTTCGATTGCTTCAGCTTCATTGACGCTGTGATTGGCTGACTGTTCCAGCAGCAATAATAATAACAAGGATGCGGGTGTAATGCAAATGCCCTGTGAAGTCTATTACTTTCTGTTTGATAAGATACCCGCTAAGATACGTTACAGGCAGATTTAAACCATTAAACTATGTGGGTGGTGACAGTCTAAAGTGAAGCCTGTCGGTCAGTTAGTAAACTCAGTCTAGCTTGTTAGCTTAGCTCGGTCAATAAACAGGACAGTAGTTTCACAGTTTAGTCAAAAGATGCACTCCACTACTGGCGGCAGCTTCACTGGAATTACTGCATTCGCTCTGAAATTTTGTTTAAAGTGGTCATATTATGCTCACTTTCAGGTTCAAAATCCTATTTAGGGGTTGTACCAGAACAGGTTTACATGGTTTAATGTTCAAAAAACACCATATTATTTTCAAACTGCACATTGCTGCAACTCCTCTTTTCACCCTGTGTGGAACGCTTCGTTTTAGCTATGGAGAGATACATCTTGTCTCTAAATGATCTTTGTTGGGAGTTGCACATGCGCAGTTCCTAGTTAAGGATTACTAGCCAATCAGAAGCAGAGTAGGGCGGGTCACTGAGAAGCCGGTAAACACGGCTTCGGTTCAGCTGTACATGTTGCCGACCAGCTTGGCAACATGGACTGGAGCAAGAGTTTCAGAGTGGTGAGTTATTAATCTGTAACAAAAGTATCTTTCATCCATAAAGTTTTAACTGAGCTCTGTCTCTACATCACAGGAACAACTTTATGTCCACTGACTGCCTGGAGGGTAGCTAGTGTTTGGAAAGGAGAGGAGAGGTGTGCTGCAGCTCACTGTTTTTCCATCTGTGTTTTTGAGGGTGTGTCTGACTAGCTGTTTGGTGAGCATTTTGATGCGTGTTTCCCTGTGAAACGAAAGAGGAAAAGGCTAGACTACAAAGGAGCGGTTTTCAGGCAGTTCAGAGCAGAGCTTTCTGTGGGAGATGGGAACTTCCTTTGGGCTGGACTTTGGGCTTTTTCACTTTGCAAACAAATTAAATGCACAAAAAAGTTAGATAACTCAATAAAGGAGAGGGGAAAAGCAAAAAAGCATAATATGACCTCTTTAATTGCTGGTGTGACCGGGCTTCAAGGCAGTGATTCATCTGAGCCTTTAAAACAAAGCATTGTGTACTACTGACCCCTCATCAGAGGTTGGATTTGTTTAATGTGACAAAAAAGTGATTTCGGGCATAGCTGGAAAAAAGAAGTGATTTTGAAGTAGTACAATTTCTGTTTCCTATCCTGTTAACCATCTTGTTGCCCCTCCGATTTGTCTTCTGACCCCTTGTGGGGGTCCTGGCTATAATGTAACGAGTCAACTAATCATCACTTTCCTCTGCACATTTTATTTGCACACTAGTTGACATACTTTGCTGGAGGAAGCTGTAGAAGTAGTGTTGGCGAGCTAGTTGAATGTCACTCAATTGTTAAAAGTAATTTTCAGCTATCATATTTTCAGCTAGCTAGCTAACAATGCTAACACTGACAGTAAATCTGGAAATATATCTACCTAAATAGACTTTCACACTGACTTAGTTAGAAGTTGTTTCAGGTCCACCACTGTGCCTGGTTGTTACATGATGGCAGTACTTCCATACAACCAACTCTCCCCCAAGATGATTCTAGTTGTGGCTTTTTCTCTCTAGCTACAAGGATGGCACGTAGATTTAATATATTGATGTGCAAATTGTATGGCTTTCTATCTTTTCATTACCTGTATAGTTTTTGTGTAGTTGGAGTGCCTGTGAATGTGTGTGTGACAACATTAAAATAAAGAACAAGATAGGAAAGGCGGCCTATGTAACACAGAGAACAGATGGCCTGTGAGGTTGTCATTGTTGGCGCTCGATCGTACGTTTGTCGGGTATAACATTCTCCAATAAAAAAAACAAATCTGAGGAAATCTGTAGCTTCTGTATTATTGTGTTACACACCCACTGAAGCGTTGCATGTGTTAGCCAAATAATTAATCATGACAAGTCAATTAATTACAATAAGAGAAATCTCTTGCCTTTTTCATTTCATGTTGTTGTAATTTGACAACTTCTGGGTTTTTGGACTGCCAGACCAACAAATAAGCAGTTTTAAGATATGTGTTTGGTCTCTTGTAGGTTGTGGTGGGCGTCAACATTCTAAGTTACATTTTTGGTTTTTGGTTAATTAAGCGAACAAATAATCAATAGATCGGGTACTGCTAATACATTTTTCGAGCCCTCATAGCCTGCAGATTAAGTGTAACCATCAGTAATGATCGTTTTGATCATGAAATGTAAACAATGACATCTGCTGATGAGCATCAGTAATGGCACAAATCATTAAAAAACTTACAAGCCTTAAAGTCCATGCTCAGGCACACACACACGGTCCTTCATGTGTCCAGGTAAAATCTGACATTCACGATTTCATTTGTCTTTTCCACCGCCGTCTTTTTCTGTCTCTCTCGTTTCTTTCTATACCCTCCTTCCTATCCTCCCTGCACAGAAAAATATAATCCTGCTGAAATAATAGCTGTCTTATTCACATACCTTCAACCTTCATACCTTGTGTAAGTAAGGTCATTTTGATGCAAAGCTGTTACTTTAGCAAGAAAATAGTTTTTTGATGCTAAGCTACTGCTAAGGTCTTGATCTATGTGGAAACTTCACAAAGTCTAAAAAAGAACTTCCATTATTTACACACTATTATTTAGATTTTCAGTGCCTTCCTTCATCCTGGCATTCCCTCCCTCCTCTGCCTTCAGCCTTGGTCTAGAAAACCCATGTGACGGGGACCCACTGGGGGTTTTTAGAAACCGTTTCCAGGGCGGCCTTGACGGTGCGGTAGGTTTCATCCAGGTTGTCGTTGATGATGCTGAGGTCAAAGTAGTGACCGTAGGCCGACTGGATTTTAGCGCTCTCGTCGATCGTCCTCTGCAGCTCTTCATCCTGAGACGGAAAACACGTGACTTGATTTTGCATGTTGTTATTGGAATCACAGGACCTCTTCTGTGAACTATTTACAGTCTATACCGAGTTTTACGCTACTTCCTGGGCTGAAAATGTTCTATTTCTCTACATGTGTATGAAAGTGTTTCTTACCGTCAGTGTTTTAGTGACTACCCCTGCCTCTACAGCTGAGTGGTTCATCGCCTTGAGCACCTCGAAGTCCGGAGACTGAAGGAAGACCACATAAGGCAAGAACTCGGAGGTCCTCAGCAGTTTGAGAGACTAGAATGCAACATGAATACACAAATACATTTAATTTGGACTTTCCACAACTGGGTTCAGATCCACCAGCCGGTCAGAGATTCCTGCCTGGTGCCAGTGAATGACTCACTTTGTACTCTTCTGCAATGTCAGTTGATGTCTTGTGCAAGGCACATGACACTCAACTGACTGAATTGAGCTCCTTAATGTGGCCAGGAGGGACCATAAAAATATAAAGCTCTGTCAACAGTATATTATTGAGGCTGTACTTGGTGTTGTTATTGTATTAGACTGTGTTACAATGACACGTGTTGCTAATATTTTGTCCACCTCATGTACATGGGTCCTGTCTGACCCTGTATTTTGCATATAAAATTGACAAATCAACCATCAGTGTGAATGATAGCAGAAATAGTACTACTACTACAATTACTCGCTAACAAGTAGATTATAGTGTTGATCAACAATTTACAATTCTTCATTCACAGCTTCTATTCTGTCACTCTACACATAGACAGAGGGACTCTGAAGCAATGATCAGATTCCTGCAGGGGTGGGTGTGTTTGAAACTGGGTTCAAATGCATTTCATTTATTTATTGCTAATGGGCTGTGTACCTGAGGGTTGGCGTCCAGTATGCAGACGCGCCCCGCCTCCACCACCTCATGTATGGAGTCGATCTTGATTCCGTACAGGTTGCCGTCGTATTCTCCATGTTCAAGATAGCGCCCGTTCTTGATGTCGGTCTCCATCTTGCTGCGGCTGGTAAAGGCGTACATCCGACTCTCGCGATCTTCCTTTTTGGGCTTTCTGGAGGTGTCTGGATGGACACAAAAACCCCGTCATGTATGTACACGCATACATTTCCCCTTCCTCTTTGGTTCCCTTTAAGAAGCTTTTGTTTTAAAATATTATTTTCTGTCCGAATCACAAGTGTTATCTGTATCAGATTGAACCTGCTCTTAGTTAAAGCTATACAACTTTATTGTGCCTATCAGGAGACTACTTTAATAACAGATTTCATACATGGAATTAGGGCTGTGCGATATGACAAAAAATTCATATCCCGATATAGGTCATTTCTAACTGTAACTCGGGATATTTCTCTGCATTAGGCAGGTGGGGTAACTTAAGCAATTTTGGAAAAATCCAACACCATGACAAATACCATGATAGAGTGAACAACGACACAGCAAGTAATGTAACTAATGTTAGCTAGGTTGTGGATTAGCGAACTGACGCTACACATATCATGGCTGGCACTGCTGGATAGTGTTGTGTGGCTCGTCCATTATTTTTAATGCAAATTTCTTCCCTGCAACACCGGCACATGTGGAAGAACGGACCGCAAAGTTAGTTTCAAGTTGGACATTCGACAGACGTCAAAGTCCAACTTCAAACTAACTTCACCGCGGTGCAAAGCGTTGTTCCCTCACCAAAGTATCATGGAGTGTGGAATTTGCGACATAACGATATAAACGATAGAGCGTAACTGTAAACGACAGACGTTTTTCTATCGTCAAACCATATCGTCAGCCCTACATGGAATGGTGGTGCCAAAGACGAGTGGATCCCTCAGTAGAAGCTTGTTCTTCAGTCTCCGCCGCCCCACACCCTGGGCACCAATCAAAATCAGAGTTTTCCTCTTGAAAGGCGGGACCTTGGCCACCTCCTCGTAGAGCAATATCTCATGTCGGTCGAACTCTGAGAGAGGAAGAAAGAGGGGAAGGATTCAATGACAGAAAGTAAGGGGGAGAGAAAGACAGATATGAGTTGAAAGAAGAGAGGAAGACAAAGTTTCACTGTTTCACAGAGGACACAGCTAAATTCATTCTCTGCATCTAACCCATCCCTCAAGGCAGCAGTCGGCAGCCACTGTACAGCACCCGGGAACCAACTCCAGATCTTTGCCACTGTCCTGGTCAATGGCACTGACCGGATGATCTAATATGTTTTTGATGGTGGGAGGAACCGGAGCACCTGCAGGAAACTCATGCAGACACGGGGACATGCAAAGTTTGCATGGGTTCGAACCTGGGATCTTCTTGCTGTGTAGCCAAAGTGAATCCACTGGACCACTGCGCCGCCCACATAAATGTAACCGTAAGAACTATAAATAAATATGGACATAATTTAACTACAGAGCCAAACAGATGATACGTTTTACAGGACAGGCTTTCTTACCTGCGTTTTTGGTGGTCACATACATCATTTTCTTCTTCTTCTTCCCTCCAACACCAGTACAAAGATTTCCTGTCACATGAATGGAGCATATGGTGAGTTCAGGCACTGAAGTCAGACTTGCATTGGGTGATTGTCATCATTCAAGCTTCCCAATCACTGTCTCATTCACCAGCTGTTCGGCAGCTGACTCGTAACAGCCATATGCTGAAACGTCTCCCTGTTTCTCTGTTGATACACACATTCCATCACAGCAGCGTCCTCCTTATGTTTTAAGCTTTTTAACTGAGATGTCCTGTGCTTTATTGAGGGAATTAGTTCGTTAATAGCTCCTTCAAAGAGTGGAGCCTTTCCTGCCACATAGAGCTGTTTAACCATGTGCTGTAAATGGTCGTTTCAAGATTCATATTATGTATTTATATATATATATATATATATAGTTATATAGTTTCACATTATTAAAGTCAAAGTTAATCACTTTATTGCCAAGAGCTTAGCTTGGCAAAAACATTTCTATAACCCCCAGGTTTATTAAAGCTCCTCTCATCATTGGTACTTAGGGTACCAACTAAAAATCTATCTGACAATCCTTTGCAGGCCTCGCATTTAACCACCAGATGGCAGTGTACAAAAGCAGAAGACTGAAGATGGGAACAACGGCTCATAATATACAGTAGGGTATTACGGTAATAGAATTTCGACAGCTGCTAAAGACATAGGCTGCACTTCTCTCAAGTGAACTGAATTTGCCCTAAAGGGCTTTTCATGTATCACTCATGCATGAATTCAAGAATTAAAACAGTTTATTTTCTTTATACTCCGATCTGCTTTCATTTTTGTGCTAATTCACTTTTCCTTTTCTATTCTTTCACTGACCGCCACCATCTTTACTTTGTTCTCATTATTCTTTGGTTTCAGTTACCTGCAGGCGCCAGTTCCACATCTTTCTTGACAAATGCTTTCCTCTTCTCCTCCAGCATCTGACTGGGGATCAACCCCGCACTACCACCCTCCACATGACGGGCCTGTATAACACACACACACACACACACACACACAGTATATACATTCATAACAAAACCTCCTCATGGGCCCTGTATTTTTACTTGATTTTAACTTGATTTGATCTTTCTCGCTGTAGAATCAGCAGAACACAAAGAAGTGAATTTTTAAGCACACATGCATACATGTCCACTACAGCCCGACTGATAGGCGATACCCATTTTCTGAACAAAGATTATGCCCTTTGTTATGAGACCTTACCAAAATAACATAACAGAATGCTGAACATACATCCAACCACATACATTAACATTTTGATAAATAAAGAGACAAATGTAAAACTACTACTACTAATGAACATTAAAGGAAACAGTGTATGTATTGTGTAGGCCTGCCAAACAGAAACTGTTATGAAATGAGGATTATACCATTTTGGCTATATAAGGGGGCTCTAGGTCTGATTTTACGTCGATAAATCGGTCAGGCTCTAATGTACACAAGCTGTTTTTGTACTGCACCTGCCACCAGTTGACATCATCCTGGTTGACTATCTGAAGGATGTCGCCTGTCTCAAACCTTAAGCCCGCCTCCTTACAGGGAATCAGGTTATCATTGGCCGGGTCGTAGTCATAGTGACACTTAAAGAACACCTAGAGAAACACAGATATAGACACAGGTATTTATCTCAATATGCACTTTGGTCTGTTTTTGCATTCTCAATGATGAATTTGATGTGGTATGCAATTCAATTTATTTTATTTCTAATCATTTTTGTTTTTATCTGTTACCTGACTTGGTGTTATGGTTTCATGGTAGCTAGGCAGTATTTTCAGAACTACACTTCCACTGGCTGCCTGCAGCTCCTCCTGCAGCACCCTGGGGTCCTGGCCAACCTCTCGTCCATTAACCTGCCAACACATTGGATAAAAGGAAGTTTCTCAATTGACACATTAACCACATTTGCGGCGTTTGGTGAGTCATGTTTATCGTACAGACTAGTGTTGTCAAAAATAATGATTTTTTGAAACATATCGATTCTGAATATTTCAAACGTTTTTAATATTCATTTTCCACAGTATTGATGCAGAAAATGTGCTTCTCTTCTCCCCGACAGCGAGCTGATGCACACACTGCTGCAGCGCCCACACGGCCCCGCCTCCTGTCACTCACAGCGCTTTCATCTCGTCTCATTCACGCCGTCCTTTATAAAGACCCTGGAGAGGTTGGAGAAGTCTCCATTTCAACATCACTAAAGTATCAAACAAGATGGCCCAGTAAACGGTTGTTGATAAGATAGCTGTAAGATAAGGTAATTCTCAAACTAATCCCCCTCAGAGCTGTTAGACCTGAGGAATCTCAGACAGCAGAGTTACAGTTGATAGGAAATACTTTGACTAAGGTCAGAAGTGCTTAACACACATTCATAAGTTGATAAGATAACTCAGCAATTATATTCAGTAATTTAATCAAAGTTGCATCAATTTTTCCCCGTGGTATCCAAAATTGTATCGAATATCGATATTTTTCAAGGTAATGTATCAAAGTTAGAAATTCCAGTATTGTGACAACACTGGTTTCTTGTTCTTTCTCAGTTTAGTATTCCCTGTCTTTTTATTTCTCCCATTTCTCTCTTTTTTTGTCCTTATTTCAGAGTCTGTGTTTCTCGTCCCTGTGTTCGCTGCATGTGTGATTCGCGGCCATGCCCTGATTCATCTCACCTGTGTCTCGTTATACCCTTTTCTGTAGCAATTTTAATGTCTGACCCCTAGTGATACCCCTACTCTGTCTCAGCTTTTTGATCTGAATACTTTTGCCATTCTACTGACTTCCCTTGGACCAAACGTGACTTGCATGTAAACTTTTTTCACTCAACTTCCTGTGTCTGAAGTCATGCTTCTGAGTCCTCTGTTAGCCATTCTAGCACTGATAAAAAAAATAGAAGGGGTCAGTAAAGGGCATACTTTAATTTAATTAATAACTATATAAATGTAATGGTCTCCCATACCTCTTTGATGATATCTCCAACGTGCAGCAGTCCTTGCTGGTCTATCATCCCTCCATGGAGGATGCGGGCTATAATCAGCTCACCACACTCCACCTTGAACGTCACACCCTGAAACACAATTAATGTGGGCTATTGTTTCTATCATCTATTATCATAAAACCAGGATCTACAGTAGTACTGTACTGTTTTACCAAAAGCACATTAAGGAATGAGGACCTGAGGCTCAGGTTTTTTTAATGCAATATCAATATTTTCACTGCATCTTAGAATCAGTGCCTTTATACCAAACACTAAGAGAGCTTGGACAATAAAAAGTGAGGTCCAACATGGGATGAACTCAGCCATGTGAAATGTTTTGGTGTAACCTACCAGATGCTCCCCTGCCACTTTGCGTATGCCCACCATGCGGATTGCGTCAGGTGGCAGGTGCAGGTTGTTTTTGTGGCCTTCCTCCGGCTCATGATCCACAAAATCACATGGGCTGGGGGGGGGGCTGTCACATGTCTGGGACGCCACTGAATCATGGGTCTCCAGTAGAGACTGACAAGCCAAAAAAGTAAGAAACAAAAGTTAGACCTAAAAATTATGTACCACTATTTGCTCTTCTTGTCAAATTCTAATTCTCTGTTTTAACTGTGTGAAGAGATCTTTCCTGTGTTCAAATATTAAAAACAATTTTATTTTATGATTCAGCAAAACAACAAAGAAATAAATTTTGATTTTATCAGACAATTAGAATGAAGGACATTTTGACAGTGGACTATATATTTCACTGTTTTACATTTACTGTACTGTACTGTGTGCCTTCTACACCTGGAAGTGAGGCTGTGTGAGTATGAGGGCGAGCTCCGCTGCAGTGTCGGAGCGGTGTGTGAAGGGGTCCAGGTCTCTGAGGATCTCCTGCAAGAGCTCCACGTTGTTCTCCCTCACTGGCGACGGACGCGGCTCCTTCAGGCTCTCCTCATACTCCTACAATACATAGAAAAAATCTTTTAAAAAATGGATACACATAGACATAACCACACAACAGGAATGCATCTCTGTGCACATGAACAGATGCACATACACACAAGTCTAGTTTAATGATATGAACCACACCGGAGGGCTCTCCATGATGCCTTTGAGGTAGATGAGGTCCAGGTCATTGGCCGTGGTGGAACTGTTGGTGCTGTCACTCATTGCGTCCAACACCTGGGGCACTATTAAAACACACACACACACACACACACACACACACACGCACACACACAGAAGAGGGACAGAGGAATAATAAGAAACAAGGAAAATGAGACAGTGACAAATGAGACTGAGCCTTACTGGTTGTACCAGTTCAGGACTGTTTTAAATGAATTCCTAGCATGGCACATACTAATCTTTTTGGCTTATTTTATACTCTGATATATTTGTTTGGCCTCTGGTCATTATTATGGAAATATTCATTGTGATCAAGCTCATTTATATTAACCCCCCCCACACACACACACAAAAAAAACAGAGAGTGCCCTTTTCCCTTAAAGGTTTAAGCCACATATTATAGCATTTTCTGCATTATTTTGATGGCACAGGTTTTTATTTGTAGAAATCTAAAACCATCCCAATGTAAAATTATGCAATATATGTGTTGGTTTCAGCCCCTTATTCTCAGTGTCCCTGGTTCAAATTCAGAGACGGAAGAGGAGTGTATCGGCGTGCATGGCTGTCTGCCACTGATTCTTTTTTTATGCTACCACTGGGATGCTGCAGATTCAGACATTGTTAAATCCTACCCATAGGGGCATAAAGTTAATTAGCTTTTTTTGCAACAAATTGTATTCTGTAGCTAGATACTTTTGAAAAAAAGAGAGTATCCTGCTAAAGCCGAAAGACTGGCGTCTGCAGCTACTATTACATGGGTAGGTTTCAACAGAAACCCTATTCTAATTCAGTTTTATTTAAAGGGAAAGTTGGGTTGTGTGAGGTACTTATCCATAGTCAGTGTATTACCATATGTGGATCCAAAAGCATACATATACATACAATATCTCATAAAAGAGAGTACACCCCTCAGATTTCTGTAAATATTTGATTATATCTTTTCATGTGACAACACTGAAGAAACGACACTTTGCTACAGTGTAAAGTAGAGAGTGTGCAGCTTGTATAACAGTGTAAATTTGCTGTCCCCTCAAAATAACACATCACATAGCCGTTAATGTCTAAACTGCTGGCAACAAAAGTGAGGACACCCCTAAGTGAAAATGTCCAAATTGGGGCCAAAGTGTCAATATTTTGTGTGGCCCCCATTATTTTCCAGCACTGCCTTAACCCTCTTGGGCATGGAGTTCAGCAGAGCTTCACAGGTTGCCACTGGAGTCCTCTTCCACTCCTCCATGACGACATCACAGAGCTGGTGGATGTTAGAGACCTTGTGCTTCTCCACCTTCTGTTTGAGGAGCCCCACAGATTCTCAACAGGGTTTAGGTCTGGAGACATGCTCGGCCCCTCCATCACCTTTACCTTCAGCTTCTTTAGCGAGGCAGCGGTCGTCTTGGAGGTGTGTTTGGGGTCGTTATCATGCTGGAATACTGCCCTGCGGCCCGGTCTCTGAAGGGAGGGGATCATGCTTCAGTATGGTCACAGGACATGTTGGCATTCATGGTTCCCACAGTGAACTGGAGCTCCCCAGTGGCAGCAGCACTCATGCAGCCCCAGACCAGGACACTCCCACCACCATGCTTGACTGTAGGAAAGACACACTTGTCTTTGAACTCCTCACCTGGTTGCCGCCACGCACGCTTGACACCATCTGAACCAAATACGTTTATCTTGGTCTCATCAGACCACAGGACGTGGTTCCAGTGATCCATGTCCTTAGTCTGCCTGTCTTCAGCAAACTGTTTGCGGGCTTTCTTGTGCATCATCTTTAGAAGAGGCTTCCTTCTGGGACGACGGCCATGCAGACCAATTTGATGCAGTGTGCAGCGTATAGTCTGAGCACTGACAGGCTGACCCCCCCACCCCTTCAACCTCCGCAGCAATCTTCTTATAGCCTAGGCCATCTTTATGAAGAGCAACAAATTTTTTCAGATCCTCAGAGAGTTCTTCGCCATGAGGTGCCATGTTGAACTTCCAGTGACCAGAATGAGGGAGTGTGAGAGCAATAACACCAAATTTAACACACCTGAGACTTTGTAACACTAACAAAGTCACATGACACGGGGGAGGGAAAATGGCTACTTAGGCCCAATTTGGACATTTTCACATAGGGGTGTACTCACTTTTGTTGCCAGCGGTTTAGACATAATGGCTGTTTGATGTGTTATTTTGAGGGGACAGCAAAGTATCTATAAAAAGGCATACAAAGCTTCAGTTTCCCATTAAAAAATCTTCTATCCTACAATTAAAGTGATATTGATTTTTTTTAGGTTTGCCTTTTTTAGATGGCTAAAATGAACTTTATACTGCATACAGTGCATTGCTGGTGTTCTGACGATTTATGCTTTCTTGTCAACAAATACCTTATTGCAAATACATAGCGTCTAACCCTACCCCTACCCTTTACTGCATGCAAAGAACTGCAAAGTAGCACATCTCCATAGGTAGCATAAATAGTCAGAACACCAGCATTGCTCTGCTAGCAGGAGAACTCTGCTTTCACTATAGCACGCACTGAGTAATGTACTGCTTTAATGGACAATTTATACCATCAACACTGACTAGACATCCACATAGAAGGTTTCCCTTTAAGTCAGATTTTCTTGAACTCATAATTCAGTTTTTACCCATTCTATAGCCTTTTGTAAAACATAGTGAATAGTCATATGGCAGGACAGGAGCTAATGGGGAGGAAGGTGTCTGGTCTCACCAGGTTCTGTCCTGGTGGAGGCCACAGGCATGGTAGAGCTTCAGTCAATCTGAGAGAAAGAGAGAGAGAGTGGAGACAATAGTCCATCTTTTACAGTGAGTCAGAAGGAGAGGGAAGTTTTAGCAGCAGAAAAGGTGACACTTTCAATAAACTCTTTTTGGTGAAACTAAAGGAATACTTTGACATCTTGCGTATTTGCTTTGTTTCTGAGGAAAAGTAAGAAATGAGACCTGAACTGTAGAGGTTCCATTAGACACTTAACCCCCACACTGCTTCAGTGCAGCCATAGCACCCAACAACAGAATGCTGGGGTTGCAAACAAAAAAACCCCCAATGTGTAAGGAAACACGGTTAAGGGAGAGGTATATTCAAAGACATTAAAGGAATAGTTTGACATTTCTGGAAATTCGCTTATTCGCTTCCTTGCTTGAGTTATATGAGAAGATGGCATACCGCTCTCATGTCTGTACCATGAACATGGAGCTGCAGCCGGCGGTGTGTGTGTGTGTCCATGCCTGTTTGTATTATCACCCCACGGCAATCATATGAAAGCTCCTCCTTTTCCCACCACAACACGCCACAACAAACACACACACACACACACACAAACAACAGTGATGTCAGCAAGGGAAGGTGAGGCGCCACCGATTGTTCTGGAATTGAGCATTCATCTTGAAAGAGCAAGACAGAGGGATAGTAAAGAGAGAAAGAGAGAGAGAGGGAGGGAGAGAGAGAGGAGGGGGATGTGGGTGCGTGACTAATCTATACATTGCCATGACAACAGACACAATACAATAGAAATTTTGGAAGAGAGGCACACCCTATATTATGTGAATTGCTTCTACTTCTGCAGCTTTACCACTATCTATCTATCTATCTATCTACATGGGTTGCCATGACAAAGCCGCTGCTACAGCCCGTAGCTGCCATGGCAACCTGCCTTCCTTCAGCTTTTCCTTCACACACACACACAGACACACACACTTCCCTTGCTGCTTATGCTAGAGTAGGCATTACACAAGACCTCAGGCAAGAGCAGGAGAGAGCAGAAGAGAGAATGACGTAAAATGAAAAGCTGAACATGTGAGGAGGAGAAGAAGATGAAGGGAAGGCTAGATGGAAATCATGACATCTGAAAAGTGATATTTACATCCAAATCACTCACTAATGTTTTTCACTGATTTTATGCAAGCTGATGAGAGCAAATGTGACCAGAACCGCATATGCTAATTCTGGTAAATCCAATCCAACTGTATACAGATGCAAAGAAAGTTGCCCCCCCCCCCCAGGATTAAGAAAACTAGGATGTTTTTAAAGAGAAACGGCCTGACGCAGGACAGAAGGAGGAAGCTGGCCAAAACTGGATTTTTCCAGCCATTTCCAATATTAATCTGACAGTTTACAGATGAAAAAGAATATTTCTTGGAGCAATATCTGCTATTTAAAGGCGGCTTGAACATCAGCTGACCTACCTCTCTGAACCAACGTCACCTTCCACAAACTGTATATATGTTATATACGGCATTTTGTATTTTGTATATTTATATGTGAAACTACATTGTGCTGCAACAATACATCCTCTTGGCAAGATCGCCGTTGCAAATCAGAATCTGTTCTCAGTCGACCTACATGGTAAATAAAGTGTCACGCACGTCTTTCTCACAAACCAGAACTATAACTTTTAACAAAACTGTTCTGGACAGCGTAGTGGGAAATTTCACCAGAATGTATCAGAAAATCCCAAACTAAGTTTACTAAAGAGCTGAAAGAGAGAAATGCAGAACGCTGGAAAAGAAAAAGAAAGGAATAAAAAATGAACTACAAAACAGTCAAACACACACCCTAATTACTGATCACACAGTGCTGTCAGCTCCATCTGCTACCCTCATCCTCCTCTCGTGCCTTTCTCCCTCCATCCTCCTTCCCTCCTCATCTCTCCTCGCTGTCTCCACCTTTTCCCACCGACACAATCAAGCCCCCCACTGCCCCCACCCTTTATGCTTTCTCTCACCCATATGCCCCCGCCAGTGCTCCCTCCTTCCTCTCCTCCCCCCCCCCCCACACACATCACATCACTGCCCCTCCTCCCTTGCCTCCCACCATTATCCATCTGCTCAGCTGCACCAGTATGTAAAAAAACAAATGGTGCCAGGTGCACACACACACACACGCCCCATTACATATATGAAAGGTGGTGTTGCAGTCTCGTAAACATTATAACTTGGTTTTAACTGCGTTGTTGTTTCTCTCTGTAGGCTAATGAACCTTATTTTAAATTATGTAAGTATGAAGCTTGATTTGAAGATAAACTGCTCTTTTTTCCCCACATCTTATGCCACTGTTACATTATTTTAAAATGAAATGTCCAAATCTATACTATAATATCATATCATATTGCATTGTGTGTGTTTGTGTGTGTGTGTATGTGTGTGTGTGCCCGAGCGGGTGGAGGATGTCAAGTGCGTGGTCACGGTTTGTGACGTCACCCGAACCCCATCAGCACCGTTTGTGTGCGTGTTTCACAAGCTCCTCTCTTTATTATTTATAATTGTTCATTTTTGTATCGTTATCCAAAGTGTATCCCACGCCTAACACACATACACCCCCAACATGGTACACACACACACACACACACGCACACACACGTGGGTCTTCTAATTAGTCTCAGGGGTTACAATAACAAAGAGTGATGACACACACACACACACACACACACACACACACACACACACACAAAGGCTGGCCGAGAAACTAAATGCTAACACCACTGGATTTTCTTACACACCGTCCGTGTGGCGCTTTGTGAGCGTTTTGTTATTAAACATTCACGCGCGCGCACCTTTATGAAGCCAGTCCAGCAACGCCGGCGGCTCTACGGTACCCGAGCATCAGCGCGAGGAGGAAGAGATAAACAAGGTGCACAGCAGTAACTGTTGATGTGAATAAAGCCGCAAGTGTTCGTGTGGAATAAAAAGCCGTTCACCTACCTTTCAACACAAGGAGACAGGCTTCCCGCTGTCTGCGATGTCTCGTGCGCGTCTTGTTGTCGTCTGGCTTCTTTTGGCCGTCATCGATACGTGGGAGTGTCAGCTGAGCAGGAAAATACATATCACTTCCGGGGGAATTTCTCAATAAAACCATATTGGCAATTATATATGAACTTTCAACGGGAAAACTAATGTTAAATTATTATTGTTATTATTTTTGCCGTGACATGATATAGAATTAACCTTTTCAGCCTAAACAATGCACTAAGAGTTAGTTGGTGAGTGTTTACCACGTTAACATTTAAACTTAATTTTGAAGGCTGTTTCGACATGTTTCCGGTTAAATGAAACACATTCCTGGGACCTTGACAGAAATCAATGCCGTGCCTAGTATTTAGTAGTATTAAAGGGACAGTGCGTTGTTTTTGTTTGTTTTATTTCACATTAACTTTAAAAAAACATCTTAAAGTACCCAGAGCTGACACTGTGGCAGTTCTAACACATAATCTCAGACTGGACTGATGGCTGGTTGATCACAACCCAGAGAGTTTTAAGAATAACCTGTTTAATTGATATCCAAGGCATAAACACTCTCTGTGACATCCAGCAGGTTACATTAGACCAGACTTTTTCTGTCACACCCCCCTTTAAAGCTGAAAAAAGCCCCCTTAACTCCACCAATAGTGGATTTCATTTTTATAAACCATTAAGAACACGGGCAATTGAATAAAACAACATATTCAGGATAGCAAGTAGCCTTGCTTACATCAGAGCCCCCCTTTTTTTGTTTATGCCACCACATGAATCACATGCATGCAACTTAAGGTCTGCTTAACATCCATTTTTTTGATAGACTTTTTGTGTCAGTTGTATTCCTATAATGTACAATCCTCCTAATCTAATCGTCAGCTGACCCTAAACCCTAAACAAAAAAGGACCACGAATATCCAAAGTTCCCATGCAGCTCTGGAAGGATGGAAGCTGAAGGATGCTGCAGCAGTAGACACTAGACCTTGCATATGTGAAAACAGTGCAACAGCAGCAGGCAGTGGAGAGATGTGAGTATTACACCTAAAGTGAGTCGCCTGAACAGTGATAGAATTACAGTACTTGGTGTGTGGTATTACTTCATATTACAGCTCAAAACAAGGTACTACAGTAGTAACATCCTGGCAACAACAGAGTAATACTAGGGTACTTAGTGGTAACATGGACATTATTTTCTATATTTGTGTGACAGAGGAGAGTATGAGGATGATAATGTGTAGAAACATCTTGGGGTAATATTAGGGCAGAAGATCACATACCATGTTAATAACGGGATAATATTTGTGTGTTCTTTGAGATGATTGAGATTCTTTCCGACTAATATTCACCCTAGTATTACTCTTTTACAAAAAGAAAACCCTAACATTACCAAAATATCATTACTATCAATATATTACCTGGTTATGACTGCCGTGATTACCATAGTATTACCCCACTATTACCCCTGTGTTATCACTGAGCTGTAATGTAAAGTTCTGAAGAACGATGATAGCAGTACGTTTGTTAACACAGATTAAAATAAATGTGTCTGTGGTCCAATGCACATTTTAGAAAAAAAAAGCAAACAATGAATTTACCATACATCACTGCCCGCAGTAATTTTAAGCTGTTCTCATAGTGACTTTCAGTTGTTGACATTGGCTTCACATCCTCATAGTTTGGGGTCCCACAGAACCCACTGTTGTATGTGTAACACTATTTAATACTCATAGTAATAATAGTAACATTAATTGAAAGTCAACCATTTGTATAACCTTTTTTTAAAGTAGAAAGAAGAAAAATATTGAAGTGGTAACCTGGTGGTTTCCTTTTGCCACAAACTGGACTTGAATGTTGGTGACTAAAATGACCATAAAGTATTGTTATTACAACCAAACCAAGGACATATTTCATGTTTTATACGTCATAAGGACTATGCATAAAGAAGTCATAGTTAGTTATCCTATACAGTGATGTTACTACTGGTATGTTGCTTGTGAACAAACTGTTCCAACAACATGAATCCAAACAGACTTTTTTGGGATTTAAGCAAGGATACTGCACAAAAAATACTGCACATACCAATCACATGTAGAGCAGATTAAAAGCCATGTTTTACAGCTTTAGTTCATTTTCTGTAGAGGATGTTTGACACACACAAAACATATAAGCTTATACAGAGCTTTTATAAGGAGCAAATACTCACTACTGCATCAAATAAGGGTAAGAGTATTGAGTGACAAATTAATACATTGTTAATGGTCTGTCAATGGGATTTGCTGACAGTAAGAAAAATACATAGATATATAGATTTGCAGTGGTCTGATACTCCTTCCATTTCAATATTATCGCTTGCACAGTGCTTCTTGGGATGTTTAAAGCTTGGGAAATCTTTTTGTATCCAAACCCGGCTTTAAACTTCTCCACAACAGTATCTCGGACCTGCCTGGTGTGTTCCTTGTTCTTCATGATGCTCTCTGCGCTTTAAACGAGTGTTTGCTGCACTGAAAGTAAAGGCTGAATAATTTTGCACGCATTTTGCATACTTTCGCAAGGCATTGTAGCACCCTGACAGTGTTGGAGCCCTAGGCTTTGCCCCCTAATCCTCCCACCCCCAAATGCACAATCCTAAAAAGTCCAACCACAGTAGTTGGGGTCATGTTTTCTCAATCCTCAGGAATTGTTTTGAAAATTCAGCAGCCAAACTCATAAACAGCCAAGTCAATAATCATGGCCCATAATGAAGAAGTGTGATCAGCCTCCACATAGCCTTGTCCACCTCCACATCATAGCCTAAACTGCGTTGGATACTGATTCCTGAAATGCAAGTGTTGTTTAGACATTGGCCCTCCCCCAGGAAATTTTGAGCATTCAAGACTTAATTTCCTGCATTCTGGTGAATATTTCTGCACCAATTTATACAAAGGGAACATAAAGGGAAACACAATATTCAGGCAGTATGTGACAATTCAAAATATTAAAATTTAATAGAATATAATGCAGTCAGGCTTTCAGGCATTCTGCAGCTACTGCCTTTAAATATGTTTTCTCCTGTAGATCAACTTTACTAATTTAATAAAATCCCTGCTGAGTCAGTGCACATGCTGAGCCTTCCCTCCTCTTTTGAGTCTCTGTTTGGGGAAATAACCTCTTTTAATAGGCCTATGTGGGACCTTTTCACCTCAATGATTATTTTAATTAATTCATTTTAATTCAGTTATAAATTCCAGGACTTTTAATAGCTCCTGTGTTTCAGCAGGTTTTCTGCTCATTTTCAAAACATTCTGCACATTCAGAATCTCTCCCATAGTGTTCTCTGATGTGTCCAGAAATAAATCGCATTATTACGAGACTAACGTCATAATTTAATTAGAATTCATAATATTTTTTATTCCACCTGGCCTCTACTCTGCTGTGCATTAGGCTACGCTATTGATCCACTAGTACATAGCCTATCCCCTTCAGACTGTTTGACTGACACAGTTAGGGACTGCATGCTGCATGTGAAACTGAAACCAACCAAAAACACTTCTGATCAGGCAGAAATCTCGCCATAAATCCACACGTTAACTTCTGCAGCTCTGATAAAGTGCAACTCACAGTCCAAAACAGCAAGGCTGCGCTTCAGTTTTAAGATGTTTATGCTGCAAAACTCTACCAGTCACGTTACTGTCTGGACTCGCGCATGTACATGATTAAAATTAGATCAAAACTTTCTCTTGCGGTGCCCCATGACATTTTGCTCCCTAGGTGACCACCTATGTTGCCTATGCCACGGGCCGGCCCTGGAATCACCAGTTATATCATTTAATACGTGTAAGGTAAGCGTGGAAAAACTGCTGTGTAAATCACCAGCTGATATTAAAGTGTGGCATGTTGTAACTTCCATGATCCGTTATCTAGAGGGGTACAGACTTAAGATAAAATATCGTCATCATGATATGAATCCCCCAAAAAACAGTCTGATTCATCAACACATTTTAATTACACAGAAATGTTTTTTTTATTAATTTAATCTGATGTTACTTTTTACAATAGCAACAGTATAACAAGAATTTCATCCTCTAAACAGTGTTGGACAGTAGAGGGGCGTTAATGCTCACACACACATACAGACACAGTTCACCTTCGGATTAATAGCTCTGATCTCATTTATATTTTATTTCAATAATAAATTATGTACAATTGTGTTATAATGAGAGAGATGTGAGACAAAGACAAGAGAGACAGAGAGAGCTTGTGTTCTGATCAGTGACAGGCAATGGTTGGGGTCTGGCTTAGGGGTCAGAGGTGAGAGGCACATGTCGGCCCCTCCAGGTGCATTGTGGGATGCTCCCAGAAGGAATGCCAGATGAGGAGAGAGAGGGGTGGCCGAGTCACCACATATAGGAGTCATCATATCTGTGGAAGAGTACAAGGGAGATCAATGGTCAACATTCATATATTATGTTCACTGCAGGTCACATGACTCCTTCAGCTTGTGTGTGAGGATCTTTACCTTGATCTCTGGTCTCTGTTGTTATCGCCACCAAACAGCAGCTCTGCAACCACATCCTCCTGAGCTGAACGTTTTCCATACCTGGGAGAGATATAAGGAGGGCAGTTTTTAGCCATGCTAACTGTTGGATGGATTGCCATGACATTTGGTGCCGATATCCACGGTGCCCCGAAGATGAATCCTGCAAACTTGATGACTTTTCCATGAGGTTAACATTTGTGGTTTTAAGTGAAATGGCCCAACAACTATGGAGGAGGAATGCCATCAAATTTGGCACACACATTCATGTCCCCCTCAGGATGAATTGTAGTAACTTTGAGTGATGCCTTTATTTTCCATCTGGCACCACCATCAGGTCATCTAGTGCTCATTAGCAAATGTGAGCATAACACACTAAACTGTAAACATTACACAAAATACATGTTGCATCCCATCTCACCTCAACAAGACTGTCAACAATATCATCTCAAAACATTATTCTTTTAAAATCCTCTCATGATCCATATGCTGCAAATATATAGAGTATTGCACTTTCATAAAGTTAAATGGTTCATACATATTAAAAAACAAAAACCTTCT